GGGGGGAGGGGTCGAGTATAGGGGTGAAAAAATAAAATTTTAAAGTTGAAAATATTTTTTAAAAACAAACTCAATTTTTTTTTGGGGGGTGGTCGAGGATCGGAATGAAAAAATAAAAATTTGAAATTAAAAATTTTTTTAAAAAAACAAACTTAAATTTTTTTCTTTTTGAAGGGGGTGGGGGACTAATGGGGGGCGAGTGTAGGAGGTAAAAAAATAAAAAAAAATTGAAATTACAAATATCATTTAAAAACAACTTTTAATATTTTTTTTGGGAGGGAGTGGTGGTAGGGGGTGGGGTAAAAAAATTGAATCTAAAAACAAGCTTTAAAATTTATTTTTATTTTTTTGGGGGGGGGGTGGGGTTGGTTTGAGGATAGGGACAAAATAAATTGATTTTTTCAATAAAAAGATAATTGTAATTTGAAGTTAAAAGAGAGTTTTGGAAAATATTTTTCTTAAGTTTTGAAGAGAAGTTATTTTCCTTAAATTTGAAGAAAATGAGTTGATTTGGAAAACATTTAACCCAATCAAACATGAAAAAATTGAAAAATATTTTCCTTCATACCAAACACACCCTAAATGCTACTCCGTTTTTCTTCAAGTTTTGTCTTAATAAGAAAATAGAACGAACCAGTAGACCAGTTCACTGATCGGCTTCATACTTTATGATCTCGTGCACTATAAATGGTAACAGTGATAAATAAAAAGTGTAAGGAACTTGTCTTACCTTGTCCTGCAGTTATTCTAATCTCGAGTCTCCGTTCAGTTTAAATGATGCATTTAATTATTGAGAAAAGTAGGAGCTTTATGAGAAAATGGGTCCTGTGAGGGAGTCATGAGACTATAACATATCCAGTGAAATCCCACAAATATGAGAGTGGCTATAATTTAATGTTTTGGCTCACTTGACCTCCGTATACTCTGAATCACTGATCATATATTTCCATCTACTACTATGACCTTCATTTCCTGCACTATTTATTCATATTGTTCTAATTAATTCTTCAGCATCAACATCTATCTCCTCTTCCCATCGATGAGATTTAACCAAATTGAACTAAAATTCAGTAATTTCATGAAATAGAGGTTGCTTATTGATGTCCATTCCAAAAACTGAAATTATAATGGAAAAAAATAACAACTGAAAGAAAATGGTTGAAATGTCAAATTGATTAAGGACTTCCATAGAAGAACTGAGATCGCCATATAAATGCATTAGTTACGTGAACTGACTGAAGTTACATTCTCAGCCTTACAAATGTCCCCTTACTTTTTTTAATTAAAAGCTCGTATCTATACTTGTTTGCAATGCTCACAAAAGTAGTATAAAGTTGTTGGAGCATACATATCATGGTCACGTGGTCAGAGCCCTCGATCTCTTCCACTTCATCTGGTGGATTCTTTTCAATCATCCACTGTTGAAATCTAGAGCTTTATTTTTGAGTAGCAACAATGAGCACTCTCCTAACTGATCCACACATTTTGCTCGAAAGAATTATCTCCTTAGAAACATTTTCCGCGTGGTATAAATAAAATATCCTTACTAGTTTAGTGGCCAGCGCCAAATTCTAACACCAAGACTTGAAATGAAAAATGATTTAATTAGTTCCAAGTTGATGTTATGATTAAGTACTTGAATAAACCTGTATTTTGGATAAAATAATAAAATCATCCAGCAGGTGATACCTACTAAAAAAATTTGCGAAAGAAAAATATATTTTCAAATGCCTACCATTCTCATGACCAGAATAATAGAGGCAGCTTTATAATTAGAGGAGTTTGGTTTCTGCTAACTTACTTTCATGCACAAGCAAACCCACAGTAGCTATTATTTGAGTTTGACTTTTGCTAACTTACTTCCATGCACAAGAAATCGTAGTAGGGGTTTGGTGCAAGCCTAGGGAGTGTGGCCTATCTATTAGTTTCCATGCTAGACTAAGCACGGTACCTTTGGGAGGGCTAGGCTTGTGACTTCTTGGTTTGGCGAAGCACATCCTACAACAGGAACTTCACTAAATGCTATTATCGTCTTCAGTAAGTAATGTTTAACTCTGTGACTGTGATCATCTGATCTAAAAGTTTAAGTTTTTAGACAAAATGATGAGTTGCACTTTATTCTATCACAAGAACAGAACAGATTTCTCAATCATTGCCTTCATTGGACTACCATCTTGCATCATCTAAATCAACAGTTCTTAGCTATACTTGTTGGCAATGCTCAAAAGAGTAGTATAAAGTTGTTGCGGCTTAGACATCATGGTGTGGTCAGAGCCTTGGATCTCATTCACTTCATCAGCTGGATTTTTTTCAATCAGCAACCGTAAAAATTCCTTCTTAAAAGCTTTATTTTCAAACTTTAGTAGCAATAATGAGCATTCGTCTGACTGATCCATACTTTTTGCTTGAAAGAACTATCTCGTTAAACATCTACTGCACTGTATAAATAAAAGAAAAGGCTCAAACATACTATCTCTTTTTTTCTTCTTTTTTTCAAACATACTATCGAAATTTGAGAAAAGACTTATTTATGTTATCCGTTACAAATTTGGCTCATTTATATCATTATATTTGAGAAAAATTCCATTCATGCCATTATTTTTTAACTCCGGTTTAAAAACATTTTCTTACACGTGGCCAATTATAATTAGGCCATGTTATTAATTATTTAAAAAAAAATAAAAAATCTAAAATCATTTGTGAAATTAAAAAATCTACCCGTATTAAAAAAAATGGAAATTAGTCCTAAAATTTTGAAAATCTGCTTTGATTTGTGTTTTCGATATTAAATCTTTGTTAACTAGTGTTTTTTGAGTCTATGTTCAAAATTTAAGTGATTTGGAATTGGGTAAAAAATTCTGCCATTAAATTAAAAGATGTTGAAGTTTTGAAACTTTGAATAAATTTTAAGTGGGTCATGTTGAGTTAGGTTAATTTGAGCTCAAAAGATATTAAGTTTTGGTATCTAACTCGGAGGGAGCTACTCTTGAAATTTGAGGTGAAGAAGTTGGAAATTTGAGAATTCTTGGTGTTCTTGAAGAAGAAGAAACAAAAAAGTACATTTGATCTAAAATCCAATTGAAAAATGTTAAAAGTTGTTTGGAGTCTTGTGAGGTAAAAATTTGTTTTGCAAAATCGAATTTAAAAAATAATAGCATGGATGACATATTTGAACTTTTTCCCAAGCGGCAATGACATGGACGAACTAAACTTTTAAGGGATAATATACTCAGAGAAGGGTCTAAAATGCCCCTCAAATATTTGAATTGATACAAAATTACTCTTCATTCACCTATCAGCCCTAAAATACCCCTGACGTCCACCTTTCAGCTCAAAAATACCCTTGATGTTAATCCTTTGACTCATATTTGCTCTTATTTTTAATAGTTCCCTTAAAGTAAAATTATTAAATATTTATTTATTATATTGCTTAATGTGATCGGTCCAAATTTAAACCCTTCTCAAATAAATAATAAAAATAATATTTTTAAAAATTCTAATTTTCTATAAAACCACTTATGATTCATATTTTGACCCGATACACTTGAAAAAAATATTAAAAAATAATTAACTTCATGATATCTTCCTATTGGCCTATTTTAAATCGACCCCAATTTATTATAACGTAACCCAACTCATAAATGGGAATCCAACTAAAATCCATACTTACCCCGACTGATTGTCCATCTCAAAAAATTATTATTTTCATTGATATAAAATTTTCTCTCAATTATCCAAATGTCTTGTTCATTTTCTCTTTTATTCCTTTTTGTAATCTCTTATTCTTAATTAGGATATCTGGGGACTCAAACTTGAAATGAACTCACATATTTATATTCTTTTAATTAGTATTATTGTCATGATGGGATGAGGGTGGGGATAAGAGAAATGATTATTTTTATTATTTTATTTTTAATTTTGGGTACACACAAAAGAAAAATGCAATATTTATACATATTTGCTTAATTGAGTCATCTTTTATTGAACTAGTTATTCTATATGAATGCATCGTTATTTTCCTCCTTTTTTCTCTCTTGTTTGTCATAAATTTGAAAATAAAATAAAATGGTGGACAAGATCCAAATAGAAAAAAAAAATGAAAGAGATAGGAAGTGAAGGGCCGGGGAGGGAGGAGTAGAGAGTAGATGCACCTTTTAATAATTTTAAATTTACTATGAAATTCAAAATCAAGTCAATCATGTGAGCTTATATATTAAGTAATTTCAAATTATTTTAATGGAAAAGGGCCTAAAATGCCCTTAAACTATGACATTTGGTACAATATTACCCTCCATCCACCTAATGAGTATGATCCGTTAGACATAAGGGTATTTTTGAGCCGAAAGGTGGATGTCAGGGGTATTTTAGAGCCGATAGGTGGATGGAGGGTAATTTTGTACCAATTCAAATACTTGAGGGGCATTTTAGGCCCTTCTCCGTAATATAAATAAGTTTTTTCTCAAAGTTTAATAACATATTTGAACCTTTTCCCCAAAAAAATATTTAGTGATGGAGTTACAGTTTTATGCTTTCGTTTGGTTGGGAATAAGTTATTCCAGGATAACTTATCCCATCACTATGATATAAATGGTGGGATAAGTTATCCCAAACAAGATACAAAAACTTTATTCCATTACTATTTTCTTATCTCATCACTATTTATTTCTATAATCGTTTGTTTGCAAAATTTAGTGTTTATTTGGAATGAACTTCCAAAATTTCTTTTTTTAAAGCCACTAGCTTGACCCTCAACGTATTGTTAGTAGAGCCGTCCAGTCAGTGCATCGACCCAAATGACCTCAGTGGGATCAATGAACTATTGTTCATCTATAGCATATTCCACATTCATATGTTCTAATTCTTCAGTATCAAGTTCTACGTCCTCATCCCATCGACGAGATTTAACTGTTTAGTCTTGAACCAAATGAACTAATATTCAGTAATTATAGGAAATAGAGGGTTATTTATTGATGTCATTTCCAAACACTGAAATTCCAACAAAAGGGAACAACAGCTGAAAGAGAATATAGTTGAAATATCAAATTAACTAGGACTTGTATGAAAGAACTGAGATCACCAGATATGTGAATTGACTGGAGTTTTATTGATCTCAGCCTTACACATGTCCCCCTTATTCTTCTTAATTAACTAGTATTAGTTATACTTTTTGGCAATTCTCATAAGACTAGTAAAAAGTTGTTGGGGCTTAGACATCATCATCATTGTGTCAGAGCCCTGGATCTCTTCCACTTCATCTGGTGGATTCTTTTCAATCATCAACCGTTGAAATTCCTTCGGCAGAAGTCTATCTTCAACAGCAACAATGAACGCTCGCCTAACTGATCCATACCTTTTGTTTGTAATAACTACCTCCTTAGAAGTATCCTCCACACTGTAAAAGCGTGTTGGCCTTACTAGTGTATAGGCCAACGTCAAATCCTAACACCAACAAGGAAAAAAAAACCCGATTTAAATCAGTTCCAAATTGTTGTCGCCATTAAGTACTTGAATAGATCTATAATTTGGATAAACTCTTGAAATATTCCAATAGGTGAAGCCTACTAATAATTTTTGGCGAAAGAAGTCACTTTAGGGACATTCTCATGACCAGAACAACAAAACTTATTGGCTATTTCAATTATACTATATATTTGAATTATGCTTTGCTTACCTGAAATGGGCTCCGCTGGTACATATTAGTTTCCATGTACTTAGGACCTGGGATGAAGATTGTTGGAGGATTCGTAGGACCATTATTGTATATAAAACGATTATCAGGTTGAGATACTGACTTGAGTAACTGTAACAAAGTATATTTAGTTTCAAACATGTACAAGCATAAATGAACATATAACAGATCATCTCATTGCTAAAGTTGGGAATATGGAACATTGGTACCTCAGTGTAGACTGTGGTTACATTGATTTTTGGACCAGGCATCAGAGCAGTGACAAATACGGCAACTGAAATTTTTGCTGGAAAGGTTTCCATGGCTTTAGCAATGGCGAGTCCACCATAGGTATGGCCTACAAGAACCACTTTTTCATGTGCAGGAAGAGAAGCCATGAACTCCATTAGCGGAACCAAGTAATCAGAAAAAAGTGGGACTTGGAAGGTCTGTTTCGGGTTGATTCCTGAAGCAGCCAAGTCCAGAGCAGTGACATTATGCCCTGAAGATCTGAGCAATGCCACGATCTTGTACCAGCACCAGGCTCCATGGCCTGCCGTGTGAACTAGCACAAAGTGCTTCTTAACTTTAGGCTCTGACAAGGTTGCATTTGCATATGACAACAAAAGTATTACAACTACTAGACTTGTTAGAAACTTGGTTTTCTCCATATCTTTTCCCCTTCTTTTGAAGAATGAGCACATTATATGAACAATTACAAGGGTAGCTTTATAATCCGATCGAGGAGCTTGGTTTCTGCAACTTACTTCCATGCACAAGCAATGTAGTATGTAGGGGCTGGTACAAGCGTAGGGATTGTTGTCTCTCTATTAATAGTCATGCTTGGCATATGAAAAATTATGAGCCATGCACTGGCATGTTTTCAGGGCAGGTCAATTTGAGCATACTCCACACGTTAATTCATCTAAAAGTAGGGCTGATTTTGACTATGTAGTCCATAGACCATATTGATCCATAAGATTACTAGTCAATATGTTTTTTTCCCATTATTTATGTGATAAATTAGATTTAACCAACAATGAAAATAATGTTTTATTTAGTAATTAACAAAAAAAATAAATTGAACTTTCTAATTGTTAGAATTAGGGTATTGGGCTATGACCTATTACTTAGTTCATCTCAACCCAGTAACCATCAAAGTTTGGGCGGGTCATGTTATTGATCCTGTCCATTTTGACCCCTCCAAATTTAGCTCAAACTTCCATTTGACACCTCTATTAATATACTGAATATGAGCCAAAACTATTGGATTCGAATGAACCCATATGTTTATATTGAATGTTTTTCTTGGTATTTTAATCATTCACCAAGTCAACTAAAGGAAGAGCTGAATAATTAAAAAGTTCAGCTGTCTTAAAATCATGACCATGTAATCTAATCCTTCAACTTCTTCCACTGGATCAATCATCAATTCTTTAAGTCTACTGGGCTACCTTATCTTCATCATATACAATAAACACTCAATTAACACATCCATAATTCTGTTAGGACAAAGCTAGTTTCTTTGAAATGTCTTATTCATGTACAAATACAGTTATCATAGAAAATGAAAATGGATCTCTAATTTGCATTGGTTTGTTATTCATATCACACTGATGAGATTTAACTGTTTGGTCTTTAACCTAAATTAAGTAATTACATGAAATAGAGGTTGTTTATTGATGTCAATTCATGAAATGTCAAATTGATTAGCATGATAATAAGGACTTCGATGAAAGTAGTGAGATCGCCATATAAATGCATTAGGTATGCGAATTGACTCAAGTTTTATTCTCAGCCTTACACATGCATGTCCGCCTTATTCTTCTTAATTAACAGCTACTATTATCTGAGGCATTTGATTTTTAGAGGAGTTTGGCTATTATTTGGTTAAGTGGGCAAGCAAGGTATCTCTAGGCTTGTGACTTCTTGGATTTCCAAAGCACATCCTACTAAAGGCACTCCACTTAAATGCAATTATCGTCTTCGGTAACTAGTGTTTAACTCTGTAATCATCTGATGTAAAAGTTTAAGTTATTAGAGAAATAATGAACTGAAATCAAAATTTTAAACAACCTTTTAGTTGCACATTAATGAGTTAATATCTTTGATGGTCACTCAACTATCAACTCTTTTCACAGAAAGTCACTTAACTTTGATTTTCAACTCAAAAGTCACTCAACTATGGAATCTTTGCATAGAAAGTCACTCAACCTATTTAATTGTTCTTTTCATTACAATTTGGTGACATTGAATTTTTATTTCTAACTAAAATTTTAAGAAATAAACATATATCCATTTAAATAAATGATGGACCCGCTAAAAATATAATATTGATCCTCTTAATTTACCTTTATTTTCCAAAATTATTTTCTCTGTCTCCCATTCTTCTCCTTAGCCTTTTTTTTTTTAAAAAAAATTCTCAATTTCAGCCTCTTCTTCCTTCTTTTAGTTAGGGATATCTCAATTTTTTATCTCACAAAATCATTCTCTCTTGTCTCCGGTTTCTTTTTCTTTTTTTTGGTTATTGTTCATTAGCATAATGTTACTGAGAGTCGTCGTATGAAGGCAAAAGGATAAAAATATACTTGTTGGCAATGCTCAGAAGAGTAGTAAAAAATCGTTGGGGCTTAGACATCATGATCACGTGGTCAGAGCCCTGGATCTCTTCTACTTCATCAGGTGGATTTTTTTCAATCATCAACTGTGAAAATTCCTTCTTCAGAGCTTCATTTTCAGCAGCAACAATGAACACTCGCCTAACAGATCCATACCTTTTGCTTGAAAGAAGTATCTCCTTAGCAACATCTTCGACATGGTATAAATGATATGGCCTTACTAGTATAGTGGCCAGTGCCAAATCCTAACACCAAAAGAAGAAGAAAAAAAATATTTGAATAGATGATGATCTGTAACTTGGATAAACTATTAAAATCTTTTGGCAAACGAAGTCACTTTAGGGCCATTCTCATGACCAGAATAGCAGAACTTATTGGCTATTTCAATTACTGTATATATTTGTGTTACCTTAATTGGGATCGATCAGCTAATAAACATTAGTTGCCAAGCACTACTTTTTTTATCTACACGAAGTGAAGCCATGAATTCCGTTAAGTAATCAGAAAAAATTGGGATTTCGAGGGCCTGTTTCGGGTTGATTCCTGAAGCACCCAAGTCCAGAGCTGTTACATTATGTCCTGAAGATGTCATCAATCTTGTACCAGCACCAGGTTCCATGGAATGCGGTATGAACTAGCACAAAGTGCTTCTTATCTTTAAGTTCTGACAAGTTGATCATATGGCAACGGAGACGTACTCTTTTTTCTCCATATCTTTTGAAGGATGAGCACATAAATTTTTACTTTTCTTATGTAGTTGTAACACGTTTCAACAATCTTATGTGTTTATGCAAAATCTTATACTAAATCACTTGAAAGAGAACGAGTATAATATATATTATAAGGGAAGAGACACAATTATTGTTATTCTTTCTGAAAAATTGCATCCCTTTAGAAGGGATTGTCTTAATAGAAATCGACGACACTTTTTCTTTGCGAAAAATATTTTGCAGATAATCTTCTCTTCTTATCTTAATCTCTCAAGTTCTTGTGAAAGGATTTTATTGAAGATTCTTCCCCGAAATCAAGAACAAACTTCTGTAACATGTATGCAATTATAGCCTATGACTGTTTCGGTGTAGTTCGTGTTTCATAAACAAGTTATTGTTAGGACGAAATAATTAGATGTCATGCATGAGCTAGCGAAGCAATTCTCGAAAGATCATGAGTAAGAAGACAAACAAGAAATTTATCTATCTATCTATATCTATATCTATATTACCTTAAAAGTATGAACTCCTAACTTGAATGTTAAATTACTATAATATCCCTAACTTAGGTTGTGACTTTTTCGATGAGTTGTGACTTTTTTCAAAGGGTTGTGACTTTTTCGATGAGTTGTAACTTTTACAAAGGGTTATGATTTTTCGATGACTTTTCCAAAGAGGTGTGACTTTTTCAATAAGCTGTGACTTTTCCAAAGAGTTGTGACTTTTTCAATAAGTTGTGACTTTTTCAAAGGGTTGTGACTTCTCGAAAAGATCATATTTTTTCAGATAAGACACAAAAAACATTTGTTCATACTACCCTTTGTTGAATATAAATAGAGTGGTTTCCTCTCATTTTTCAACCATAATTTTTTTTAATCTTCTACTCTTCTTCTTCTTGCATTTTAATATTTTTGGTGTGATTTATTATCGTTGAGTGAGTTCGAAGTGTAGCGGAATATGAGGTACCACTATTCTAATGAAGTAAATCATTTTATCCTCAAAGGGTATATTCCATAACCTCGAGTACTTGAGGAAAATAATTTTGATGATATAATAATTATGTTTTTGCTTGATATATACATTAGTATGTAATGTTCCAATATACGAAGTTAACATGATGTAGTCTAAATTCATTTGTTTTTGTTAACAACTTTTCTTGTGATGTAGATATATACTTTTGAATATCTTTTTCCAAAATTTAGAGAATTGTCACGATTTGTTTTTCATGCTCAAGACAAAAGAATGACTTTATTTATCAATGTTACTTATGTGATTTTAGACTCTCAGGAAGTTTGCTTCAAAATAGCTATTACTATATAAACATTGTCATTTTGTTTTACTTATTTACTATTTCTTAATATTTCAGTATTTTGGTACGAAGAAAAGTTCATATGACTTGTAATAATGTCAGTTGAAGTTTGCATTAGTTTTGATTTTTATTATTTATTTAATAGCTAATTTTATGAGATACATATTTTCATTAATGCAAATATATATTTATATTTGGGTAGGTATTTGTATTTAAATTAAAGTATTATATACGTCACAAATGTATTATCAAGTTAACAAGATCTTCTAACTTCAAAGTATATTATTTTAAAATGTTCCGAGTTCTTTTTTTTTTGAAAAAAAATTCACAACAAATGTGAAAATATGTGAATATATAAAATATAGTTGTTCTCTTCACATGTTCATTTAACATCTCAACAATTTAACGTGGAATACACATGCAAAGCACATCTGTTAGATGACAAGAATAACACAAAACAAATAATGTCTATAAGATAATATTAGTGAGATAAAACTAATTACATGATTGAACATCATCAAATTGAAATAAATATATACATTATTGCATTTAACTAATAAAATTTTTCATTGACCATCTTCATAGGTTTACGTGAAAAAGACATATATATGACAATCCACATTGAACATTCACAAAAGAAACTGCAATATTATTTTTTCCTAAGCTTATTATTCAAATCTTCGCTTAAATAAGTAATACTATATTCACTATAACATATATTTTTGGAATTCATAATCACGTGCAACGCACGTGTCAAATAAACTATTATACCAAAAGACACAAAGATTTAACTTTGTTCGGTCAATCAACCTACATTTACAAGAGGAGACGAGCAATCCACTATATAAAAGAAGAGAGTATAAAATATAGATAGGAATAACCTCACCCAATTCACTCGAAATACAAAGAGGTAACGTAACACTTGTTGCTCACACATTTTTCCCTACACAAAACTCTCAAAACCCTAGGAGTACATTGTGAATGCTACTGTATTAGAAGGAATGAACCCTCTATTTATAGAATCATAAAAAATTTCCTACAAGAAAAGAACTAGTCAAATATGGAGATTACATGTTTTTTTTTTCTAAAAGGAGAACTCAATTATGGTAAGAAACTCAGGGCAAATACCCAACGATTATTACACTATTAGATTAGTGAAATGAATTCAATAATTTTGTAAACTGTGTGCTTGATTAAATTTTTCATTGGTATCAGATCTGCATTTTATTTGTTTTTTGGTCTAGATGGGTGTCGGAAAGAAGTCCATATTCACTTCTTCTTTTTTTGGTGCATTTTTTTTTTTTGATGTATTGGAGCCATATACTGAAAGATATAAACTTAGCTCTTTCAGTAGGAGTTCACGTGATAAAAACAATGGGTAATGCCAATTTTTTTTTGACAATTCATATGTAACGTATTGGGGGTTTATAGATTTCAAGTTTTTTTTTTTTTTTTGGAACCCCAGGATTCACAAAAGAAGCTGCAATATTATTTTTTCCTAAGCTTATTATTCATTTGGATACAGTGTATCTAGAAGACATTAAACCTAATTTTAATTCCATGTATTTCAAGATACATATATCGAGACGGATCCGAATGCCATAAGTTTCCCTTTATTAATATAGTTTTCAAGATATAATATTATCTTAAATACCTAATTTAATACTCCATTCTTTGCAAAGGCATATATTTGTTAAATATTAACTTCTAATTTTTATAATTATCTTTTATTTTAAATTTAATTTAATTAAGTAATTAAACTCGTACAACCAAACAATAGCGCTTATAATCAGGGGCGGACCCACATGTATAGGTGGGGGTGCACGTGCACTCGTTAACTTCGGGGAAAATTATGTATATATACATATCTATCTCAAGAAACTGATAGAAATAGGAAATATACTAAAGAGTGCACCCTAACAGAACATAAAACTGCTTTGGTCTTCATCATATACAATAAACACTCAAGTAACACATCCATAATTCTGTTATGACAAAGTTAGTTTCTTTGAAATGTCTTATTCATGTACAAATACAGTTATCATAGAAAATGAAAATGGATCTCTAATTTGCATTGGTTTGTTATTCATATCACACTGATGAGATTTAACTGTTTGGTCTTTAACCTAAATTAAGTAATTACATGAAATAGAGGTTGTTTATTGATGTCAATTCATGAAATGTCAAATTGATTAGCATGATAATAAGGACTTTGATGAAAGTACTGAGATCGCCATATAAATGCATTAGGTATGCGAATTGACTCAAGTTTTATTCTCAGCCTTACATATGCATGTCCGCCTTATTCTTCTTAATTAACAGCTACTATTATTTGAGGCATTTGATTTTTAGAGGAGTTTGGCTATTATTTGGTTAAGTGGACAAGCAAGGTATCTCTAGGCTTGTGACTTCTTGGATTTCCAAAGCACATCCTACTAAAGGCACTCCACTAAATGCAATTATCGTCTTCGGTAACTAGTGTTTAACTCTGTGATCATCTGATGTAAAAGTTTAAGTTATTAGAGAAATAATGAACTGAAATCAAAATTTTAAACAACATTTTTTGTTGCACATTAATCTGTCTATCACAAGAACAGAAGACATTTTGAACAAATTTCTCAATCATTGCCTTCATTTTACTACCATCTTGCATCACCTAAATATATTACTAGTATTTAAATTCGTCAAATTGTTTGCAAAGCTAGAACAATTGCTAGCTATAAGAAAAAAGAACGAACCACCAGACTAGTTCGCTAATTGGTTTCATACTTTATGATCTCTCCTGCTCTATTTGTTGATTTATTAAACTGTGTGTTGCTCGAGAATCCACCAGGACCACAAACTTCTTTTTCGTAGCCACTATCTTGACCCCATTGATGAGGTTTAACCAAATTGAACTAAAATACAGTAATTATAGGAAATAGAGGTCGTTTATTGAAGGAAATAACAACCGAAAGAAAATGTCAAATTAAATGCATCAGCCATCAGATATGTGAATTATCTGAAGTTTTATTATCAGCCTTACACTTGTCCCACTTATTCTTCTTAATACTTGTTGGCAATGCTCAGAAGAGTAGTGTAAAGTTGTTGGGGCTTAGACATCATTGTCACGTGGTCAGAACCCTGGATCTCTTTCACTTCATCGGGTGGATTCTTTTCAATCATCAACCTTAAAAATTCCATCTTAAAAGCTTTATTTTCAGGAGCAACAATGAACACTCGCCTAACGGATCCATATCTTTTGTTTGAAAGAACTATCTCCTTAGAAACATCTTCCGCGCTGTATAAATAAAATGGCCTCACTAGTGTAGTGGCCAACGCCAAATCCTAAGGAAAAAAAACGATTTAAATCAGTTCCAAGTTGATGTTGCAAATAGATCTGTAATTTTGATTAACTATTAAAATTTTCCCGTAGGTAATGCCGACTAATAGTTTTTGGCGAAAGTAGTCACTTTAGGGCCATTCTCATGACCAGAATAACAGAATTTAATAAGCTATATATTTCAATTACAGTATATATTTGTATTAGGATTTTCTTACCTCAATTGGGCTCAGTTGATAAATATAAGTTCCCAAGTACTTTGGACCTAGGATGACAGTAGTTGGAGGATTTGTTGGTCCATTATCGTATGTAACACGAGTACCAAGTTGAGTTATTACTGCATTGATTGCCTATAACGAAGTGTTAGTTTCAAAGTTTAAGGAAACATAATAGATCATCTCATGGCTAAAGTTGGGAAAATGGAAATTAATTGGTACCTTAGTGTAGACTGTGGTTGCATTGATATTTGGACCAGGCATTAGACCACTGAGAAATACAGCAGCTGAAATCTTATCTGGGAAGGTTTCCATGGCTTTAGAAATGCCGAGTCCACCAAAGCTATGGCCTACAAGAACTACTTTTTTATCAGCAGGGAGTGAAGCCATGAATTCCATTAGCGGACTCAAGTAATCAGAAAAATGTGGGATTTCGAGGGCCTGTTTCGGGTTGATCCCTGAAGCACCCAAGTCCAGAGCTGTGACATTATGCCCTGACGATCTCATCAATGCCATAATCTTGTACGAGGTCCAGGCTCCGTGGCCTGCCGTATGCACTAGCACAAAGTGCTTCTTAGCTTTAGGTCCTTGCAAGGTAGCATGACTTGCATACGGCAACACAAGTATTACAACTACTAGACTTGTCAGAAACTTGCTTTTCTCCATATCTTTTTTCCCTTCTTTTGAAAAATGAAACATTACATGGCAACTTTATAGTTGGAGGAGTTGGTTTCTGCTAACTTACTTACCCACAGAAGCAACCTAAAGTTGGAAATTATTTAAGGAGTTAATAATTTTGATAGTCACTCAACTATCAATTTTTTCCACTCAACTTTCATTTTTAACTCAAAACTCACTCAACTACGACTTCTTTGCATGGAAAGTCATTCAGCCTATTTAATTATTTTTTTCACTAAAATTTGCTGATATGAATTTTTTATTTTTAACCAAAATTTTAAGAACCAAATACATATCCATTTAAACCATTTAATGACCCGCCCCATTTAACCCGACTCGCCCCAAATGTATATTTTTGTTTTCTCTAGGGTTTATTTTTATCTTTAACTATTTGTTGTTGAATCGAAGAACGGCAAGTGGGGTTAGAGGCTCTTTATCAATGTGGGAGTTAGACCTTTCTTAATAGATATGGTCAGGATTTATTATTTTAAGACTCTTTGAATTTTGTCTGCTTTGTGATTTTTCTTCTACTTTAATCTGTGTTTATAGGAAATATCGTCAGTTTGAAAAAAAATTAAGTGTAGTACTAGCTGAAATTGCCACCCCTATTGATTCATAAGAAAATTATTAAAATGTCAAATTTAACTAGCTCAGTAATAGGAATTCCATAGAAGAAATGAGATCAGGTATGTGAATTGACTGAAGTTTTATTATCAGCCTTACAAATGTCTCCTTATTCTCTTTAATTAACAGCTCTTATCTATACTTGTTTGCAATGCTCACAAAAGTAGTATAAAGTTGTTGGAGCATAGACATCATGGTCACATGGTCAGAGTCCTCGATCTCTTCCACTTCATCTGGTGGATTCTTTTCAATCATTAACGGTAGAAATTCCTTCTTTAGACTTTATTTTTGAGCCCCAACAATGAGCACTCACCTAACTGATTTATACCTTTTGCTTGAAAGAATTATCTCCTTACAAACATTTTTTGCGCCAGCGCCAAATCCTAACACCAAGAATTGTAAAAACATATTTGATTAGTTCCAAGTTAATGTTGTGATTAAGTAACCTGTAATTTGGATGAACTATTATAATCTTCCAGAAGGTGGTGATGCCTACTAAGAAATTTCTGCGAAAGAAAAATATATTTTCAAATGCCTACCATTCTCATGACCAGAATAAGTGAGGCAGCTTTATAATAAGAAGAGTTTGGTTTCTTCCAACTTACTTTCATGCACAAGCAGCCCACAGTAGCTATTATTTGAGAGATTTTGAGTAGGGCTGGGCATAAAATATCAAAAATCGAACCAAAATTTTTGGTAATTTTGTAATTCGGTATTGGATGTGATATTTGAGAGTAAAATTTTAAAAATACGATATTCGGGTTTGGATTTGGTACGAGACGTTAGAACCACGATATTTCACGAATACCAAATTATTTACTTAACGAAGACCATATACAACAGGTTCATAATCATTAGTACAAGCCTAAAGAGAAAGTTAAAAGACATATATCTTATAATTGTATCAATTTACTTTTCTTGGCTTCTTACTTGTTGATTTTCTGTTATATAGTCCCTCCATACGAATCAAAATTTAAAAATTTGGTATTTGGAAATCTATTTAACTACCAATTACCGAATTACCGAACTCGAAATTTGGAAATCCCAATCCGAATATGAACGCCCACCCCTAGATTTGAGTTCTAGGGGAGTTTGACTTTAACTAACTTACTTCCACGCACAAGCAATCGTAGTAGGGGCTAATGCAAGCCTGGGGACTGTGGCCTGTCTATTAGTAGCCATCTTGGCCAAGCAAGGTACCTTTGTATCATTGGGATGGCTAGATGCTTTTATTGTCTTTGGTAAGTAGTGTTTAACTCTGTGATCATCCTATCTAAAAGTGTAAGTTATTAGAGAAATAGTAAATGATCTGAAATCAAAATTTTAGTGGCACTTTAATCCATCTATCACAAGAACAGAAGACATCTTTTAATGTTTTGGATCACATGAAGTCCTTACACTCTGCTACTATGACATTAATTTTGTGCACAAAAAGGGGAAATAACATCCATTTAATTCCTGCTCTGTTTGTTGATTTATTAAACTGTGTCTTGCTCGAGAATCCACCAGCACTACAAACTTCTTTTTCTTAGCCACTCACTTGACTCTAAATGAATTCTAATTATAAGGCAAATGACCACAGTGGGATCTATGAGCTCTTCTACAGCATATTCCACATTCATATGTTCTTAATTCTTCAGTTTCGACTTGTATCTCCTCTCTGCGTTGATGAGATTCAACCAAATTGAACTAAAATTCAGTAATTAGAGGTTGTTTATTGATGTCAATTCCAAACAATGAACAATGAAGGAAATGACAACTGAAACTTATATGGGAGAACTGAGATCATCATATAAATGCATCAGATATGTGCATTCACTGAAGTTTATTTCTCAGCCTTAGACACGTCCCCCTTATTCATTTTAATTAACAGCTCTTATCTATACTTGTTAGCAATGCTCAGAAGAGTAGTAAAAAGTTGTTGGGGCTTAGACATCATGGTCACGTGGTCAGAGCCCTCAATCTCTTTCACTTCATCAGGTGGATTCTTTTCAATCATCAACTCTGAAAATTCCTTCGTCAGAGCTTTATTTTCAGCAGCAACAATGAACACTCGCCTAACAGATCCATACCTTTTGCTTGAAAGAACTATCTCCTTAGAAACATCTTCCGCGCGGTATAAATAAAATGGCCTTACTAGTGTAGTGGCCAACGCCAAATCCTAACACCAAGAAGGAAAAAAAACAATTTAAATCAGTTCCAAGTTGATGTTGCGATTAAGTACTTCAATAGATCTGTAATTTGGATAGACTATTAAAATCTTCCAGTAGGCGCTGCTGACTAATAATTTTTAGCGAAAGAAGTCACTTTTAGGGCCATTCTCATTACCAGAATAACAGAACTTATTAGCTATTTAGATTAGAGTATATATCTGTATTATGATTTTCTTACCTCAATTGGGCTCAACTGATAAATGGTAGTTGTCAAGTACTTTGGACCTGCGATGACGGTGGTTGGAGGATTTGTAGGTCCATTATCGTATGTAATACGAGTATCAAGTTGAGTAATTAATGCATTGATTGCCTATAATGAAGTGTATTTAGTTTCAAACATGTAAAAGTTTAAACAAACATAACAGATCATCTCATGGCTATAGTTGGGAATACGGAAAATTGGTACCTTAGTATAGAGGGTGGTTGCATTGAGAGCTGGACCAGGCATCAGACCACTGAGAAAAACAGCAGCTGAAATCTTTTCTGGAAAGGTCTCCATGGCTTTAGAAATGGCGAGTCCACCAAAGGCATGACCTACAAGAATTATTTTTTTTATGTGCAGGAAGTGAAGCCATGAACTTCATTAGCGGACTCAAGTAATCAGAAAAATGTGGGATTAAAAGTGTTGAAACGACGATCCTGATCCAACTGTTAAGGTATTGTCCGCTTACGTTTAGACCCGTATAAAAATTGCCTCTTTGGTTTTAACTCGAAAGGTGCCTCAACAGTTAATTCTAAACTCATTAATTCTTCTCTCTCATTCCAATATCTGCAAGTTCGCCTAAAGTGTAATGTGCACCCCTTTTTCAGACTCTGTTAAAGAATGACAAAAGGCCCACATCGGTGGTTAATGAGATGGGTGGACTCCTTATAAGGCTTGGGCAATCCTCCTCCCTTTGAGCTAGCTTTTGGGGTGTGAGTTAGGCCTAAGACCTAATTTAAGCACAGTACAACTTACTGAAAGAAAAGAACTAATATTACAAATTAGAAGAGGGACAAATTGTGTACTGTTATGAAAAAAAAGGTTTAAAAAAAAAAATAAGACCTAATTTAACATGGTATCAAAGCAAGGCCCGTCTCACCCGATGTTGGGACCCCCAAAATCAAAATTGCCCACGCACCAGATGCTAAGCACTGGGCGTGAGGTGGGGTGTTAAAGAATGACAAAAAGTCCCACATCGGGGGTTAATGAGATGGGTGGACTCCTTATAAGGCTTGGGCAATCCTCCTCCCTTTGAGCTAGCTTTTGGGGTGTGAGTTAGGCCTAAGACCTAATTTAACATGTTTCGGGTTGATCCCTGAAGTCCAGAGTTGTAACATTATGCCCTGAAGATGTCATCAATGCCACAATCTTGTACCAGGTCCAGGCTCCGTGGAATGCGGTATGAACTAGCACAAAGTGCTTCTTAGCTTTAGGGACTGACAAGGTTGCATTTGCATATGGAAACACAAGTATTAGAATTACTAGACTTGTTGGAAACTTGCTTTTCTCCATATCTCTTTTGAAGAATGAACATAACAAGACTACTTTAAAATTCTAGGAGTTTGGTTTCTGTTAACTTACTTGTATGCAGAAGCAACCCCACGTAGGTATTTTTTTTTTTAGAGGAGTTCGATTTCTGCATCCCCACACTGACTATTACTTCTACTCATTTAGTCAACCCATCTAAAAGTTAGGCAGACTTGGACTAAATATTGATACACAAGAAAGCCTGTTTAACCATCCACTTGATCTGGCTAATATCTATCAGTAATCCATCTTTACAGTATGAACCTGAATTATTAAAAAAAGGCTTGAATGTTTAATTCTCTATTCTGCTCAACTAGATCTATGGTCTTGCACTTGGCAATTTTGGTACAGCACATGGAATTTTTACCTCGACAAGGCTGATCTGACAGGAGATTCAGTGTTTCATTACAAATAGACAAATGGAAAAAGGGTAATAATATCCATTAGTTACCCCAATCTTAAAGAAATAGGCAAAATGGAACTTTACATTAGTTTATTATTTATATCACATGACACTAATTAACAAGTAATAATTCTTCCACGTCTCTTTCCACAGCATTTTTAATGGATGTGGTTGACTTAAATCATGACAACAAAATCTGCAGCCCCACTCTATTTTTGTTTTGTAGCCCAACGTGGCCACAAAGCATTGATCCATATCATCATTTCTCTCAGCCATTAAGATAACATATTTCATTACAAAAAGGTTACAAGAGAATCTATATCTGCAAGGCAAAGTGTTGATATTCCCATATTAGAATCTTGATGACTTATAATCTAGACACCCTAGAAAAGACTTTCAAATCAGATCAGAAAATATGAATGAATCCAAACTAATTAATATGAAATCAGACATTGCCTCATAATATTTGCATATTGGACAACTCCTAGAAAGAAGGCACAGGCAGGGTAGTAAAAGTTCAAGAAGAATCAGATGAAAGCAACTCCATATTGTCACACTAGGATCTTAACAAACCTGGAAGAACCAAGACAGGGAGAAAAAGAAGGCAAAGATAGATATAAGGGATGAGCACAAGGAATGAACAAACCAACCCTCTAAAGGGCAATACAATAGGCCAAAGCCCCACCAGTATAGTTGGACAATCAAATTATCGTCCATCCACTGACGTAAATGAATCGGCAAATCCAGATGGCCGAGTGGGTATACTTGTTTGTGTATTTTCACTGCTGCCAATGTATGAAGAAGAGCCGTCAATGCCACTCATTCCCTCGAGAGCCTGCCACTTCTTAACTGCTTGAGGTAGCGTCATGTCATAATCGATTCCATATATTTCATCCTCGTCTACTTCTGCTGGTTTCCAGAGCTCAGCCAGGGAGGAAAGCACGTTGACAGCATGACCCATGTCTGGTCTCTGATGGGGTTCCCTAGCACAGCAGTGACCAGCCAACTCAGCAACTGTGCTGACACTGGCCAGAGTTTCTTCATCAAGATCGATTGTGTGGTCAATGGCCTTACGGAATGTCTCCTTATTTATATGCATTCTGCGGAACCATGGGACCAGATGCATGCTTTCCTCGGGCTGAGATTCATCCAGAGCTCTTCTTCCAGTAATTAGCTCCATCAAAATTACACCAAAGCTAAACACATCAATCTTTGTGGTTACTCGGCCCGTAACTGTCCAATTAAATAAAATAGTCAAGTGTTAACAGTTTCTTTCATACTAATGATGCAATTCAAGATGAGAGCTATTAAATTGAATTCAAGTTGGATAGGGAGAATAAAATGTAAACAAGAAACCAAATGAAAGAACCCGATCAATGCCTAAAGGAGATAAACTACACTTGATCTGAGCCTAAAGGAAATGAACAATAGCAACACAGCTTTATCATCGAGGAAGAAAATACAAAATCAGAAAGGCAAGTGTTTTCCCGTAATACGAAAAAGTCATCATTCAACACGAGCACAACACCTAAATGGCGGTAACATAACTAACATGTGGAAATAAGAGAAAGGTTACCAGGAATTCCCACATCTTACTGAAGAAGTAGATTTAAGTTTTGACTGTCAAGCAAAAAGTCAAGCATTTCTCAGAAGTATTTAAATTTGCCTTGATTAGAGGCATATTGCTTATTTTTATGTTCTCAGACTTGCACTCCACCATTCGAAGATATAAGGTACAGCAAAAGTTCATCTACTGCAATCCTACCATAGAAACTTCTCTAACTCTCTATAGGAATTTATTCATTTTTTTGATAAAGGTAGTGTTCCCAACTCTCTATTGGTTTTACTTCCACTGTATCAGGGTGATGATATTAGCAAAAGTGTACAAGAGAGTTAGCTCCAGTACAAGAACCTAGCTAAAATCAAAGAGCTTACAAAATCCAAAAAAAGTGTCAACACTATTTAAAGGACAAAATCCAGCTAAACAAATAACTAGGTACTGAATTTTAGGGAGTGATTCAAAGTTGAGACCCATTCAAAACATCCGTGATTTCAACGTTCCAAAAGATCCAGCTAGAATAGGCTTCCCTGATGGTCTGTAGATGCAGACCCAAACAACTAAACAAGAGAGGAAGCAGTTCCTACTTCCACTGTCACCTGTTAAGCCTATTAATCTAATATTATTGGCCTTATATACACTAACATACGTCCATTTATGTAAGCAAATATATGCAAAAATATAAGGAAATTAAACAGGTCACATGATGAAGTTTACCTGCATACTCTGGTGCAAGATAGCCAAAAGTTCCAGCCAACCTAGTAACCAATGAAGTTTTTCCCTCAGGAGCAAGGCGAACAAGTCCAAAATCTGCAACTTTAGCCCTCATATCATCTCCCAAAAGAATGTTAGATGGCTTCAGATCTCTATGAATGAAGCTCTGTTGAGCTAAACCATGAAGATATTCAACACCCCTTGCAACATCCAGTGCAATGATTAGCCTCCTTGTCCATTCGAGGGGATTTATCCCTTCTTCCTTCCAGTTGAAAAGATACCTGCTGACTGTCCCTTGTGGCATATATTCATATACAAGTAACCTCTCATTTCCATCCAAGCAATATCCTAGCAGTGCCACCAAATGCCTGTGGCGGACCTTAGTAAGCACCGCAATCTCAGACGTGAACTCATCCAATCCCTTCTCGCTCATAACTCCAGATTCCATCCTCTTAACAGCAATTTTAGTTCCATCATGTAACTCCCCCTTGTAAACAGTTCCAAATCCACCTCTCCCCAATATATTCTCCTCGCTGAAGTTGTTCGTGACATTCCTCAAAACTTGGATGGAAATCACCATGTTACCAGCCTCAACAATGTGCAAGTCCCCAGGTGCACTGCTTCCACAACTGTACGTTTCCGTTGTCCCTCCATTGACACTTGAACCAGCAACTGTGATCTTAACAGCATCTTGGTCAGATCCTGAATGATGAGGATGAATAACCACTGCGTGTGGACTCTGAACTCTACCGGACTGCATGCGCTTAGTCCTGTAAAGACAAAACACAAATAATCCAGCAACTGCAACCGCACCACAAACACCACCTATCACTGAGCCCACAACAACTCCAGTTGAAGATTTTTTATTACCATTCCCATGAGTTTGTCCACCTCCACCCCCATCGGGTGAACTAGGAGTACTCCCGGAAGGTGCAACTGGAGGTGGACTATCTTTCCCAATATTGACATTGCCATCATATTTAACCAATACATTGCTCTTAAATGGTGGGATTTTTCCGTAAAGTTGATTGTTAGAAACATCGAATTCCTTTAGGTTTGGCAGCAATGCGAGCTCATTTGGAATAGTTCCTGTAAGAAAATTGTTTGCTAGGATCAACTTCTGTAATGATGTAATGGACGAGTAGTTGGGAGAGATTGTCCCAGTAAGTCCCATTTTCTGAAAATTCAGCACTGTAATGTTCCCACCATCACAGGTAATACCAATCCAAGACGAACAAGGATCATTCCCCTTCCAATTCTCAGCAAACCCCGTGGGATACCCCACAGCCTTAGCCACACCCAACAGCGTATTAACTTGTGAGTCACAAGGACCCGGCTGTGACAAACAAAAACTATTGGTATTATCCAACATATCCACTAGCACTGAAGATGGAAAGTTTGGCGTAGGCCCTTGAAAAAAGTTGTTTGTCAAATTAACCATCTTTAATGAAGGAAGATTAACCAATGAGTCTGGCACTGGACCAGTGAAGCTATTGTCTCTCAAATTGCACTCTCTCAACTGAGTCAAGCCCGAAAAATCAGGCAAAGGGCCTGTAAACTTATTGCCTGAAAACCAGAGTTGGGTTAATGAGGTCATGTTCTGTACCACATCTATTGAACCATTCAACTTACTATGGAGACCATTTAACCACAACGTTTGGATAGAAGAACCCGAAAAATTCGAGGGCAGGGGACCCTCAAAATTATTAAAGGCCAGATGCAAATCTGTTAAACTAACAAAGGTATCTCCACCAAAGAAATCAGGGATTTTACCAGTAATATTAGCAGAATTAGCAGAGAAACTTTGAAGAGAAGTGGCATCTTTCAAACTCTCTGGTACAGACCATGGCGAAAAGGAATTGGAATCCAAGTTAACATTTTGTAAATTAGTCATACCCTCAAAAAAGTCGCTAGGAATTGAAGTGAACCCATTGTTGTTAAGAAGAATGCTCTGCAACGAGTTCATCCCAGCAAAAGTCGGAATCGCCCCAGTAAGTGCATTGTGTTGAACTTCAAACACCTGCAGTTCCGTCAGGTTATTCATGTTTGGTGGTAGAGAACCTTTTAGCCCTTGATTCCCTACTTGAATCCTAGTTACACGACCATCTTTAGTACACGTAACTTTACCCCATTTACAGGGGTCTGGATCGTCCCAGTTGAGTGAACTCGGTGGGCTGATTCCCTTCTTCAACTCTTGCATCACTGCAGCATCTGTTGCTGCACTACCCTGAGAGTATACAGAGACAACAAACGACAATAATATCAAGAAACACACAAAACCCAGATGAGGTTTCTTCAACTTCATTTTGTTCAAGAAAATTCTGCAGAATGACTCAAAAACTGAACTTTTTTCCTTGAAGAAAAGGGTTGTTAGGGTTTTCTTCAAGTTGGGGATAAAGAAGAATCGCAGAGTGTGACAATGAAAAAGGTGTGCAGATTGAACGGCGGAGACTGTGGGAAGAAAGGGAGGAAAAAGGTTGGGAATTTGGAATTTTTGTTTGCTTTCTTTATAGAGTGGATAAAAAAGTCAAGTGCGTAGGAGTGGGGAGAACATATATACTACTATATATATGATTTTGCATTTTCGATACCTATATATACTACTTTTTTCCACTTTACCCCGTCCTCTTAATTTATTTTACTTTTACAAATTTGTTATCACCTCCATTTTATTTTTCGTCACATCTTTTGTCCTAAAAAAAATTATGCAATATAATTTTAATTAAAATATTATATTCATTATTGAGTATGTATATCAAGTATTAATAATTAACCTTAGATTTTTAAATAAATAGGATTAATAAAAATAATTTAGTAAAATAGGTCCCTAGTAAATAAGTTATTAAGGAAAGTAATAGGACAACAAGTATATTATTTTTATTATTGAGTAACAGCATAAATCATCAATAGTTAAACTTAGATTTTCATAATATTAGTAATAAGAATAATTTTCTAAAGCAGATCTATAATAAATAATTTCTTAAGGAAAGTGTCTATTCAATAACGGACAAGTAAAAAAGAAAAACGTTCATTTAAATACCATTTCTTTAGTACCAA